ATGATAATCTTAGAACTGCAGAGCAGGAAGGGACTCTATGGACCATCAACTCCAGCCCCTGTCAAGGAGGCACAGTGGGGGAATCGAACACCCAACCTCTGGCTCCACAGCTAGAGACATAAAACACTGAGGTGTTCAGCCAGTCAGCAGTTAGTGCATTAGCTCTCAGAGCCAGCTGGTGGAGTGGTTAGTGACATGGCGTGGTCAGAGTTTAGAGGGGTGACTCTTTACTCCATCTAGATAGGGGGCTGTTGCTAAAAAAAAAAAGGTTGAATAATGTGAGGGCTAGCACACAGCCCTGTTTTATACCCCTGTTCATTATAATTTGCTCAGATAAATGTCTATTGGAGGAGAGTTTGACCTGACAGGTTGTATTGGGATATTTATTTCTAATAAGATAGAATAATCTTTTTATCTATGCCTAAATTGTTCAATTTATCCCGTAACATTGCTGTGTCTGCTGAATCAGATGCACCCTTTAGGTCCAGAAAGGTTTAGTTAATTTTCTGTTGTGAGTCTTCCCTTGCTGCCCTTTGTTAGACTACTGGGAGCTCATTTTCAGCATTAACTCTGAGCACGTAACCTATAAGTGGAACAACATAACTCTAATATTCTAATTGAGTTTGATGCTTTCATTTATAGAAATATTCAGACTGTAACCTGTTCACCTCAACGAGGATCCCATTTTCTCAACCCTACACTCAAGTGATATAAATCCCGTGTCGCTGTGCTGGCCCTGTTTTGTGGGGCGTGTTTTGTGTTGATGTCAAGGAGGTGGTGTCCGAAGACAGAGCTGCACATGCTTCGTGAACGGCTTTGTAGCCTACGAGCCAGCTTGCTGCCCTCAGGTGTGCGCTGTTGCAAAGGTTGAACCCAGGTTCATTTGGCAGCACCTGTATGGGGAAGGGATGGATGAGCCACCTTTTCATTTGCCTCAGGTAGCAAACATGTCTTTAGCTAGCCCTGATGGTAGTTGCTTCTTACTGTGGTTTCATGAGGAAGCATAGCTTTGGTATCTGAAGAACTACCAGTTCAGAGCTTATAACGCGTGTGGAATGCTTGGAATGTCTTTCAGAGGCAAGGACCGGACTCTTCCCAGGCCTAGAGAAGGAGCTGACAGTTTCTGTTGGCTAGGGCTGCAGAGGCTCAGGTGAGGTCCAGACCATGTGCTGGACCTCGTGTTCCTCATGTGCCTTCCAAAGAGTTCTTCCTGCTGTTCTGAAGTAAAAGGGTGGTTTTTCCATTTTGCTGTTTCCATTCGGACTTCACCCTCCATTTTTCCTCATAAGAATCTTCCACAGGAGCTGTGACATGCAACCTCTTGCTGAAAAGTAGTGCTTGTGTCTCACTTCTCAGATTGCAATCCAGATACTTTTTAAAGCAGTGTTTTCATCCAGAGCACTTGATGCATTGTTATCTATACCTCAGTGTGCTTTGCTGTGCTTTGAGGGAGTGTCCTGAGATAGATGCTTGTAAGAAACAAAGGCATGGAGGAATTACAATCCCCCCCACTTACCTTGCAGTCCCTTCTTCTCCTCCAGAGTTACATAGGTTCCTTTGCTGTGAAGCTGTAGGGATGACTGCAATTTTGGATGACATTTTTAGCATGTATTTCCCCTTATGGTGATAGTTTATAGGCAAGAAGTGGAAATGCCTGCTTCAGGCATTTTTCCTTCTCAGAAATGTCCCAGATCCCTTCATCGGCTAAAAGTAGCTCATGCAATCAACACACTGTGAGAAACAAGACTTACTTAAGTGCTGAAAGACATGCATGTCCTAACACCAACTTTTCTCG